TGTACATTTTTTCACACATTTAATTTCACTTTGGATATTAATCAATGTTCAATATGATATACGTAGATATAGACCACAACATATACGAACCTTTGATAATATCCTGTTTGTTTGAACAATGTTTACATATTAAATTGATAAGTTTATAGTGTCGTATACGATATTTCTTTAATTTGGATAAGTATTACAAAATGAAATGTATTTGTAACTGTCACATGTACGTATGTCTTGGGAGTGTAATAGTCAATATTATAAATTCATATAAACAGTGTCCATGAATAGCCGTTTCATTTTATTTCATAACTAAAACTGAAGATATAACTTATACGATTATCCTGATAATTCTATACCAATAGAGCTTTCTTCGCATCTTTTATTGTATAATACTAAGACAAGATGATGAATTACATAATAAGTCCAATATTCAATATAATTTTGTTTGTTTTGAAATATTTTTTGAGTACTTGATTACGTAAAATTGATGCCAAACAGGTGCGTGTCTTGTCCAATTAAGATACACTGTAAACTATCGAATTGTTTATCTATTCAAGACATTATTTATATGGTACACGCAGCCTTTTTATGTTGTGTTGAACAAGAGCCCAATTCCGTTTTACACATAGACTTTTTCCATACCATGAACGACCGCCTCCGCGGTCTAGTGGTAGAGCGTCCGCCCGGAGAGCGGAAGGTCCAGGGTTCGATCCCGGGCCGCGTCATACAAAAAGACGTTAAAAGATTGTATTTGTTGTTACCCTGTCTGGCGCTCGGCATTAAGGGGCTAAAACAAGGACTGGTCGGCTCGGAGTCAGTATACTGTGTCTGAGTGGGGTATTCATGTTAAACTGCGGCATGGTATCTCAGTGAGCTAGCACTATAAATCGGCATCAGTCCGGACTAGTACAAGCAGCCACACACACACATACACGTGCATGCACGTCGCTATATAAGTGCAATAATCTTGGACGCGACGTTAAACCCAATTTCACCTCACCTCACCATACCATGAACGAAAATAAGGGGAGATATATATTAATCTAAATACCACTGTCGTCTTTATCTGACGTTGTCAAAAACATAAAAGCAGCCATGACGTCAAACAGAATGGTGTCATTTTTTTAGTAATTCATAACAATTGATGATACGGTTAGTGCTCCATTAATAATGGTGCAACTTTGGTCAAATAACACTTGCACAATCAGGAGAATGTCAGAATCTAAGGACTAATTAATGGGTTAGATTCAGCCATCCATTATCACTTATTTTTTATGAAGCACAATTTCATCATTTCTTGTGGAGTTTTTTTTATGCCTAAACGTATACAGTTTCAATATCGATATTTGCGTTGGAATAGTTAGGTTCCCCGTGAACAAAACACCACGAAAATATTTTGTCCTTACCGACAGCTCATTCTCACCAAGAGACCTTAGTTACAATAAACTAGTGCTAAGCTAGCTGAGTTATGCCCCTTTTCTTTGAAGGTGTGTAACCTCTCTGTCGCCTTTTGACGTCAGAGGTAAATCAGATTTCGTCATTGACGGCAGGCTATTTTTTACATTGAATTTATGTCGTTAAACATACGGATATAACTCCATTTGATATATATTTAAGTCGTTCAAATATTAGGCAGTATTTTGTTCGCTCACAGTTTCGGTAAAGCTGCCAAATAAAAAAAATGTCGCACAGTACTTTTATCGGTGTACGCTAAAAAGCGGAAAATTTTCCTGTTTTTCAACGCAGAATAAGTTCTCGGACAAAACTTAGCAGTGTCTTTATTTCAAACCTGTTTAATATTTACAGTTAAATATACACCCTCAGATAGGAAATTTAATATTCTACATCTCTACATCCAGTGCCGGGTGAGCGCAATTCTCGCAAAAACCTTGACTTTTCCGATCTTAGGAAACTGTGCGTCAGAAAAATTACCTCGGCATCCAATGATTACCGTAGTACGGTATAACGTGCGTGCGTCCCTATGACGACGGTCTTAGACTAAGACTTAGCCAAGATTTTGCTAAGACCTTTTCAAGATCCAGTCTTAGACCGAATCTTAGCTAAGCAAAATCTTAAAAACTTCGTGCTTAGCAAAATTTGAGCTAAGATCACTTTCATGATCCCGGGGCCTGGTACCATCGCTATTTGAAGTTAAACCGACTTTCATCATTAAACAGCACTCGACGCCAATTTCTCACTTGCCAGCGTCGAACCCGCCTCGCCCATCGCAGTCTCAGGCGTCGATGTTGAGAAGTCAGTACGATTCCTCGGAAAGGACGATACGCTCGGTTACCAGCAGCACGAAGTCGTCGTAGTACGAACGTTGGCTAATGGGATGTCCCAACGCTGTTGCTGCCGTCGCCGTCGCCGTCGCCGTCGCCGTCGCCGTTACGAATCTGTTTCGCAGGTGAATGAGCCGTTTCTGACCGTCTTCCAGTGGTGTTGTCACTCGGGGTCGTCCGGTTCTAGGCCTGTCCAGTGTCCTCCCTGTCTGCCTGTACCGTTGAATCAGCCTGGCTACTGTCGATGGTGTACAACCAAACCTTCTGGCAATTTGGACCTGTGTTGCCCCCATTTCGGCCATACCGATGGCTCTCTCTCTCTCTCTCTCTCTCTGCTCCTGTGACAGTCGTGGCATTTCTTTTGTGTGCTTTCATCACGTGTGGTTATACCCCGCTGACGGTTGTCACCGCACGAGCGCCGTCAAAGGTGGCGCGTTCGAGTGAGGTGTTTTGTGGTAACTGTTCCTGGGCAGTCATATTCCCAATACCCACTTTCCACTAGTTATCGCTGTTTTTAGGAAAATTACAAATTGCCAACCTATACTTTCTTTTGCCGCTTTTATTCGGGCTTAACAATACTAGCTTCAAACTGCCGACTGCCAATGGAAAGTCTCTTCCGTTTCAAATGTTTATCCCATTGATGCGAGAGATGGACTATGATTTCGACGGAGTCGGTCGTACAGCCTGTAACTATCGTTCGGTATACCCCGAGTTAACCTTTTTGGGGTTGGATGAATATGAAACACATTCCGACTGTCACGTTTGCGATTTCTACGCTACTCTCTGATTGGTCGTTTGAAACGTTCGTTCTCATGTGACCTGTAACAGGATTTCCTAAGATCTTTGTGTAGTGGTAGCGAGCACCAAGATCTGATTGTAATGTGATGGAAGAAAATGACACTCCCACGAGACACTCTTACTAAGAGTTGCATCTGACTTTGCAGTGCCCGTAATTTACAGGTTTTATTTGTTTCGTTGCTTAGGCTGTGTCGTCGTTTCTGTTGTTACATTGGTTCTGTTGTTACATTGCTTATTGTTTCTGTTGTTACGTTCTTTCTGCTGTTACATTGTTTCTGTTGTTACATTGTCTCTGTTGTTACGTTCGTTCTGTTGTTACATTTTCTCTGTTGTTACGTTCGCTCTGTTGTAACATTGATTCTGTTGTGACGTTGTTTCTGTTGTTACATTTCTTACTGTTACATTGTTTCTGTTGTTACGTTTTATTTGTTGTTACATTGTTACTGTTGTAACATTGTTACTGTTGTTACATTGTTACTGTTGTTACATTGTTACTGTTGTTACATTGTTTCTGTTGTTACGTTGTTTCTGTTGATTCGTTGTTTCTGTTGTTACATTGTTTCTATTGATTCGTTGTTTCTGTTGCTTCAATAATTCTGTTGATTCGTTGTTTTTGTTGTTACGTTGCTTCTGCTGATGCGTTGTTTCTGTTGTTTCTGTTGTTCGATTCAGTTATTTCTGCAAGGCTGTCAACAACCACAACTACAGACAAGTCTTTAAAGACTTTGGCCCCATCCAAACCTGCCGGCGTTTCTTGGTTCGTTGTTTCTATTGTTGCATTGTTTCGTTGTTTCTGTTATGACATTGTTTCTGTTGGTTCGTTGTTTCAGTTGTTTCTGTTGTTCGATTCAGTTGTTTCTGCAAGGCTGTCAACAACCACAACTACAGACAAGTCTTCAAAGACTTTGGCCCCATCCAAACCTGCCGGCGTTTCTTGATCCGTTGTTTCTGTTATTGCATCGTTTCATTGTTTCTGTTTCGTTGTTTCAGTTGTTTCTGCAAGGCTGTCAACAACCACAACTACGGACAAGTCTTTCAAAACTTTGGCTCCATCCAACACAGCCGCTGTCTTGTCCACTGTCCGTGCAGCTCCAGGGAACTCATCACATGTGGCACCGAGTGTGACCGGAAGGTCAAGGAGTGGGCGTGTGACAACAGGTGTGGTGGACTTCCGGCCGGTACAAAGGTCCGGGCATCCTACCAAGCCAGCGTGTGTAACACCGGAATGGCGGCAGACGTCTACGTATGTGGCAAAAAAAACAACTGTCATCGTGGCTAGGTGTACCCAGCTCCAATGTCTGTAATCGATGCTGATGTGGTATCTGAAGACCTGAAAAATAAAAGCAGTTAAATTGCAAATATCTTGTACTCATTATTCAACAGTAGATCTGCTTACAATATATGATCCGTGAAGGTCCGGGGTAGAATAGGTCTTCAGCAACCCATGCTTGCCGTAAAAGGCGGCTATGCTTGTCGTAAGAGGCAACTGACGGGGTCGGGTTGTCAGGCTCGCTGACTTGCTTGATGGATGTCTTCGTATCCGAATTGCGTGGATCGATGCTCATGATGTCAATCACTGGATTGTCTGATCCAGACTTGATTATTTACAGATCGCAGTCATACAGCTAGAGGAGTGCTGAGTGCGGCGTAAAACAAAAAACAAACAAACAAAAACCAACCCGGACTCCCCACAACCATGTTCAGTTCCCCACGTTGCCACATCTGTCGCCATTTATTGGTCGTAAAACTGACTAACACGAGATTCACACGAGATTCACACGAGACACGTGACACATAGAGGGCAAACCTAACTTCAATGTCAACTAGTGACCTTCACCTTGGATCACGAATGGTACTACTTGTGTGGCCGAACATATTCTCTGGTTCCTTCTTCGTGACGGCTACTTATAAGAAACCCTTGTGGACATGGCGATTGTAGTGTAACATACATACATCTCATCTGACTGTGTTAGATGTCTGCCATTCAGAGACACTTCCCCTCACAGTATTTTCAGCGACAGAACTTGTATAATTCTCAGGAAACCTCTACCTCTATTACATCATTATGGCAATCCTGTATTTTGGCTGCAATCACATAACACACAAAACTAAACTTTTAAATTTTCAACAGAAGTCCTCTTCATTGTCAACTGTACATTATTAGTCGCATCCCTAATAGCACTTTAGACTACTACTTCCATGTGCAAAGGCGGAAAAACCGTCACTTCCTACTTGTATGCTCTCCCTTGTAGCTGCTTCAACTCTAGCAGTTATGTTGTCACACTAGTTCTTGTCCGTTTCAGTTTAAGTAGTCAATTTTACTACTATATATTCTACGAGAAGTAGCTATTGGTTATATCTTGGGGATACATTTCACATGAGTATTAGTAGGTGTTTGGTGTGTTGTGATTTCTATAATGGGGTCTTCTGCTCCACCTTCCGCGTGTCAGAAGTGCGGCCGCTCTATGATCTCGGGGGACCCACACACTTCATGCTGGAAGTGCAGAGAAAGTGGACGCAATTATGTTGATTGACACGTCGCCAGCTACTCAAGACATCCCGACACTCCCTACGTCCCCCAAGACGTCCTGACCCTCCCTACGTCCCCCAAGACGTCCCGACACTCCCTACGTCCCCCAAGACATCCCGACACTCCCTACGTCCCCCAAGACGTCCTGACACTCCCTACGTCCCCCAAGACGTCCCGACCCTCCCTACGCCCCCCAAGACATCCCGACACTCCCTACGTCCCCCAAGACGTCCTGACACTCCCTACGTCCCCCAAGACGTCCCGACACTCCCTACGTCCCCCAAGACGTCCCGACACTCCCTACGTCCCCCAAAACATCCCGACTCTCCCTACGTCCCCCAAGACATCCCGACACTCCCTACGTCCCCCAAGACATAGCGACTGATTTGCAGAACATTTGATTCCAAAGGCTAATTACCCTGTAGCCATGACATGTATGTCTCCATAACTTAATTGTCATTATTTATAAGACACTAATCCCCGTTGTTAATCCTCACCAACATTTCATTGTATATTGACTGTCAGCCAGCCTGGGCTATCATATCACTTCCCGTTAATTACTTATATTTATAGTATGACATTTATTGCCTTAACTGATCATCCCCTGAACTGTGTCGGTTCATCACGCCCATAGGTCTCATGACCAGAGCAACGTCATTGTCTCTTTGTCTGTCCATTGTTGTCCATTACTATTGTTTTACAATTGCACTGTTAGTCAGCTTGATATTCCGAGTGCTGGTGTGGGGACGGCCTCGAGCAGGATGTGCCTCTCGTAGGAAACGTCCTGAGGTTGAGCTGGAGCTCCACTCACCAGCTCCACTCATGTATGCCTGAGCGGGAAGGTCCGCTCATCGCAGTGTTTGTGTTATCAGAGCAGGTATTCCGCTCATTGTGTATTTGTTGTTGTTGTTTACATGTTGTGCATAAAACGTTTCGGGACAGTGATGTCGATTTTGACTTTGATTCACAAAAGAGCCAATTCCCCGTCAACATGCGCGTTGACACAATCTATGGAGACAACTCAAGACATCAACATCTGGTACCGAATACTGAAAACCCGTGAAGGTCTGGAGTAGAATACAAATGTAGGTCTTCAGCAACCCATCCTTGCCGTAAAAGGCGGCTATGCTTGTCGTAAGAGGCAAATAACGGGGTCGGGTGGTTAGGCTCGCTGACATGGTTGAAGCATGTCATCGATCCCAATTTCGTGGATCGATGCTCATGATATTAATCACTGGATTGTCTGGTCCAGACTCGATTATTTACAGACCGCCGTCATATAGCTGGATTATTGCTGAGTGCGTAAAACAACAAACCAAACAACCAAGCTAAAGACACCATGGCTATGCTGGAGCGACCTTTTGCTCAGCAGTAATCCTCCATGGAAAATCTTTTTTGAATCCCGTTTGTCAACGTTGTCTACAGAAATAGAAACGGGCATCTACAGACGCAGTAGAGAGTGAGTGAGTAAGTGAGTGTTTGAAGCTGTGAGTGAGTGAGTTGGGTTTAACGCCGCTTTTAACAGTATTCCAGTTATATCACGGCGTGTCAGCTTAATGTGGGAGGAAATGATGAGCACGGGTATGGTGCTGTAAACCTAGAAACATAATCGGGCCGAACCGGGATTCGAACCCACAATCATAGGTTTCTGGCGTGCCCATGGGACGCAACTCTGCACAGCGAATCGCGGCGCCTCAGATGACTGGGCCATCCGTGCCCCCTAACAGACGCAGTAATTTGCCCTGGCCAAGAGGCCGCAAGGGGAACAGGCCTCATTTGAGCCTCGCCTGTCTGCTGCTGCTTCCAGGTCTATGGCTGCGTGGCCACCGGGCAGAGGTCAAGACTATTCCACCAGCCAGTCAGGCTTTAGTCATTCCCCCACTGGGAGAGTCAGACACCCCGGTCGCCGCACGGGATTCTACACCGTCCAGATAATTACCCATAAGCCTGCGCTTAGGCCCCGCTCGGACAGCACGGACTATACGTCGACAGTCTCGGATTCAGTTAGACAGCCGTATGACTCTCGCTTGATGAGGTCAGACAAGACATTAGTTCCAGGTCTCTACAATCAACTTCGCAGCGATCATCTTATTCAGGGATCACAGTAGAGACACATCCTTCTGGGACAGTCTCCATCGAAAACTGGACGAATTTCTAGCTGCCAATCAGGACAGATCTCAGTTCCATCAAGACAGGGAGTTCCTGACTCGGCTTATGATTTGGATTCTTCATTCATCAATCGGGGGCACGGGTGGCCCAGTCGTCTAAGGCGCCGCGATTCGCAGTGCAGAGTTGCGTCCCTTGGGCATGCTAGAAACCTATGATTGTGGGTTCGAATCCCGGGTCGCCCCGATTATGTTTCAAGGTTTGTCAGCACCAAACCCGTGCTTGTGGGTTTCACCGAAGTGGTAAACGTCTGAGACACTTTTCCCCCTTCGGGCTTTCCTCCCGCATTAAGCTGAAACGCCGTGATATAGCTGGAATACTGTTAAAAGCGGCGTTAAACCCACCACTTCACTCACTCATTCACCAATCCCAGTCGGAAATGACACCTACGCAAGACATCGTCTACATTGGAGCTTGTTTCATACTGAACACGGGATATCTCTCGCCAAGGCGCCAAGGCGCTGTCTCAGCCACGTCTTTTGATCTAATGGTGGATGTCCCTGTTCGGGAAATTAACCTCACATCAGAATATGACTTATAGGGGCAGACGGCAGTTACGTCCTCTTCAATCGTTGATCAATGACGTATGGTACCTACATCTGGACACTCTAGTGTCCCTCCCGACATATCAAGATGCCTTGGATGGGGAGCCCAAATGGATGACCCGAGATACAAGGCTCTTGCACTTCGACTGAGAAGAAGCTATCTTCAAGCACAAGATACTCCTTCTATCCTGGGTTCTTGTTCAGAGACTGAGATAAGAGCTCTGGTTACCAGTTTAGGATCTTGGACATCTGTTTCCGTTGAACAGGTTGTTGCGGGATGCCCAATGAGTTGCCCAATGCCTTCACTCACTTTTACCTAGGAGATGTGGAGACGGATCTTTAGGGGATAGTTTCATTAGGCCCTGTAATCGCTCCACAGGCTATAATTAAAGCATAGTTTTTCCCTCCTTACATGAGGTGAGGATTTTACCAGCAGCTACTCAAGGTCAGTACATCTTTACTTAATAGCTCTAGAAGAACACCTTAGATGTCCACATGTATCACCGAGTGACCGGAAATGACGTCACAATCGGAAGAATTGATACCAGAAGTGACGTTATAAATGACACAAACTAAACCGGAAGTTGGACCGGAAGTTGAACCGGAAGTGACAAAGTGACATCCTGGAGACCGGAAGCGACGTCATTATGGCTTTTAGGAGACAGTAAATGAGATCTGGAATGGAAATGACGTCATTTAGACCGGAAGTGGTTACACCCGTAAGATTGGGACGTCAGAACCTAAATTAACCAGATAATGATGTCGAAGAAGGTTCTAGAGGCAATCATTAACAAAAATATCAGCATTATTACTTTAGTCTGACATAAAAATAGGAATATCAAAACCCATTTTTTTACAAAAAAATTGAGAAATACCGCCGCCATCGGCAGCAACGTGGGTGAACCTATCGCTATAAATGTACAGGGAATGTTTCTAAATGGCAGATACACTACTGCCTGGAAGTTCATTCCCCTTACACGCATGGGCAACGCGTTACGCAACCAGTGTGCATCGGGTTGGTCACGCGTGTGAGACCCGTGTGCAACGCGTTGCACACGGGTGTGCACCCCGTCCGCCACTCGTGTGCAACGCGTGACACACTCATTAGAGGGGGAACAAACTTTTGACCAAAGGAGGACCCGTGTTAAGCTGAACCTGGAGGTGGTAACAAGGAGAGAAATTTTTGTTATCCTGACGAAAAATGATAATACACATGTATTTCCTAATGTCTCCTTTCTTTATGTGATTTTGTGGGAATAACATGAATACTGTTGCGATTAAATAGATCTGTTTTGTTTTATACGACCATTGCTTCTAAATCCGATGGTGTTAAGAGAATACATGGTCCTGGAACATGTTATTGCAATTGAAATGCTTTTATTGTGATTTGACATTAACCGTCTGTAGTACGACTTTCAGTGATAATATGTATGAGGTTTGGCGGCGCATTGTTTTTATTGGACCCTAATTACTTTATGATGACTTGGACTCTTTATCACAGCTCCATAGCCGTGAGGCTGGAAAAGAGCAGCATGTAATTAATGAGGGCGGGTTATATCATTGAGGATACACTTGAGGGAGAGAATATTAATTACCGTACTACAGGAAGAGACCTGTAGACGTAAGCGCGGGGTTTTAGCTGGCCGTTTGATAATGGCCGCCAGGAGAAGTGAGCTTTGCCTGCGTCATCTAAAATAAATAATAAGATACAGCAGTGTTATTTTCACGGTCTGTTGAATAAACTCCCAGCGCTACGGTCAATGTATCTTCTACTTGATCCTTGATACATCATTTTGGCATTCACAATATATAGTATTTCAACGTACAAAGGAGCACTGATCTAAAGCAATTCCGCGGGAGTAGTTGTTACCTGTGCATTACTGTATTTTCCCAGTGAGTACCCGGATGATATAGCAGAAATCTAGACTTGTTCGCGACCTGTGCTCGCCATTCGTAAGCGCATTTTAATTGAAAGTAGAAGGACGTATAACTGATCAACAAAAATGAAATACAGTTTTTGAAATGTAGGTATATTTGTGGGGAGCATCGGTAATGGTGATGCAGTTTTGATAAGTCACTTGCTTGGTAATTGTGCGATCTTCGTGTACACTATTTTGACTTGCAACACAGAGTAAATATTTCACTGAACATTGCTTATTTTACCGTGTGTATATGTTTACATTCAAAATGTAAACAGATTTCACTAAGGAAATGTATTAAACGTCTAAATATTCAGTTTATTTTACAAATTAACTGAAAAATATGTCCATCTTTATTAATATGATAACGAATTCCAAATATTTGTTTATGTTTAATATCATCACCAAGTACAGTTCTGTATTGTTTGGCTTCTTTTCTTAGCATAATTAATATATTGTGATGTGTTTAAGCTCTCTTGGTCGTCTTTATCATTTTTAGTCAGTCGGTTAAATAAATGAATGGATTATTCAGTCAATTTGTAAAATGACTGAAATATTTAGATATTTAATAAATTGCCTGAGTGAATCATATTTTACACATTTACTGTAACATATACACGCTTACAAAAGAAAATACTTGTGAAAACACCGTCTATCGCGCATCGAAAAACTTCCCAACCAAACGGAAAGGAACAAGAATGATTCTGTTCAAAGCTGCAGCGAATGAATGAAAACAAAATGCAAATAT